ACATTTCTCCTTCTGCACCCACACAGAAGCTGTTCAGTCTCGTAGTATTCAGACTTTCTTAAATCTATTATAGAGGCCAACAATAGAAAGATGTACATTGTCTCACATTAGTTTTCTTTCTGTGTTTGTCAGATTGCTTCTCTGCTCAGCGACACGTCGGCTGTTCTGAACGAATGCATCGAGACTTTCACTCAACCGCAGGAGCTGAAGACCCTGCTGGACACTCACAAAGACCTCAGCCAGTTAGGGGACATAGGTAAGCTTCTCAGCACTTGGTGTGTGGTAAATTTTAAATGTAGGTTTTGCAGAGAAATAAAACAGAATTGCACAATACATTTTTAATGTAATACGAAATAAATGTTGTCTCTCAGCTAAAGTAATCATTTGAATTGGGCAGTTACACCATAATATTAATCATAATCGATAAATTATGTCCCTGTGAAATCTGTTCCTGTGATCTATTTTTTTCAGATTCTTACATCGTTGACAGTGGCATCTTGTCGGCGCTCTGTCTCCCCCCTGTGGAAAGAGTCGTGATCGTCAATGAACAAACAGAAACGGATGCAGAGTGCGGACATGTCTATACAGTCTGCACAGAGATGGAGGTGGAATCTGAGAACAAGGAGGTTTATGTGGATGGAAGCAGGGCTGCGGGAGAGTGCGTGCCGGCACAGTGGTTTGGTATCAGCAGTGAGGTCAAGGCAGAAATTGTAAGCCAGGCTGCCATGGACCCCATCGAAGGCGCTGAGGCCAGTGAGAGCGAAATGGTAGAGGAACAATCTGAAACGCTGATGATTGGGGAAGACGGACAGGTGACGGTGCTCGACATAGAAGAAAAGAAGCCAAAAAGACGAGGCAGGAAGAAGAAAAATCCTGAGGATCAGGACTTTGAGCTGCAAAGCAGAACAAGGGGAAAACAAGAGGAAGAATTTGACGTCTTGTGGGAAAGACCGGTGAGGAAGAACCGGGGGCTGAAGATGAAACGGTACCTGTCACAGTGGAGGAAGTCAAAGACAACAGCCAGTACTGCCACCAACAGCAGTACTAAAAAGTATGGCAGAGGCCGAGGTGCAGCCAGGAGCAATGACGTGGACGAGAGAACGTGCAAGGTGTGCGGCATAGTGGTGGCTCGTGCCGCGCTGTTGGAGTGTCACATGAATCAACACTCGCAGGATCTGCCTTTCTCTTGTCCTTCGTGTAAAAGGTTTTATAAGAGCTTGCGTTACTTGCAGCAACACAGATGTCCAAATCAGCCAAAAGGAAAGCCTGGAAGGAAGCCAAAGCAACAAGGGCCTGCAGCAAGTGAGGGAGAACAATCATCCAATCCTTTGGACACAACCAATGAAACACAAGCGTCAGACAACGCAGACCTGGATCACTCGCCTTCCTCCAAAGAACCCGGACTGAGCCCAGACGACAAGAGTATGGCCGAGGGTCCTTTTTTCTGCCCTCACTGCAGTGGGGAGTTTAAGTGCAAACAAACTTTCAGGTTTCATTTAAGGAACATTTGCTACAGCGAGCAGCAGGTTGACCCGGAGAAGCCTGAGGATGAGAAGCACTGTTTCAGATGCGACGAATGCGACAAGGCGTTTAAGTACAAATCAACGCTAGATTCCCACAAACAAACTCACAACCCGCTTTACTGCGAGGTGTGCATGAAGCTGGTGCGTGACTCGGAGGCGTTGGCCATGCACAAAGAATCTCACACTCCATTTCAGTGCAACCGGTGTGAGGAGAACTTCCCCGTGTTCAAGACACTTCATAAGCATTACATCGACGCCCACAATCCCACCGAGCCTTTCACCTGCACGCACTGTGAGACGACGTTCACCAGTCTGAAACGTTTCATCAGACACGAGTGGAAGCACACCGGATATCAACCGTTCCAGTGTGCTCACTGCACCAAAAGATTCCGATCATACTCGGACCTCGTGGAGCACCAGAAGAAACACACTAAAGCGTATCCGTTCCTCTGCTGGGAATGTGGGAAGAAGTTCCGGCACGGTGTAACTCTGACGAGACACGTGGAGCGTGTTCATCACTCCGGAGAACCCATAATCGAGAAACCCTCTGCAATCTTCACCTGCGCCCAGTGCGGGAAGACCTTCACGTCCAGGAGATGCCTTCTTAAACACGATAACTTCCATCACAAAGGGCAGCGATTCCCGTGCGAGCACTGTGGGAAAGGATTCTTTGGGAAGGACGCTCTGGTGAGGCACACGCTGATCCACACAGGAGAACGGCCTTTCAAGTGCGACGACTGCGACAAGTCTTTCAGATCATCTGCAGAGTTAAAGATACACAGGAGGTATCACACCGGGGAGAGGCCGTTCAAATGCAACATCTGTGAAAAGGGCTTCGTCCAGTCCTGCTTTCTGACCTTACACATGCGGACGCACACAGGAGAGCGGCCGTATGTCTGTACAATTTGTAGCAAAGGCTTCTCAAGCCTGCACGGCCTGAAAAGACACAGGAGACTTGTTCATGCATAAACATGATACTAACTCCCTTAAGGATGTTTTGTTTAAAGTTCTCCTTTTGAAGGAGCTCAGTAACAGCTTAAATTAAAGAACTGCAGAAGTGAGCGTGCTCGAGAACGCCTCGGCAGTGTGGATCCTGACTGAAATAGGAGAATTAAAACCAGGTGTTCCAGTGGAAGGACATCTACTCTGAAATAGTTTGCCATGTTGCTGCAATCACAGCTCGAGTTGGCAGAAACAGTGAAATTGTAAAGTGCATAATAAAAATCTAACTTTGTATTTTTGACAGGAATGTTTGCTGTAGTTCTACAAAAGATTTGTATGTATAAATGATATAAACCTTGTTTCCTTATCAGAATTGATTTCTTTTTCTTGAATAAATTAAACCTTTGATTTCAAGTGTCATCGGATTAACTCAAGAGGGATCTGAGTCGTGATTTGGAGCTTTTCAATTAGCAGTTCTGGTTTCCAGGTAGCTGATTTTAATGCAGGTAGAGGGCATTAAAAAGAAGCTCTGATTGAATCTGTTCTACAGATTCAAGATATTTAAAGGTCACATATGCAAAATACTCTTCACCATGTCTAGTCTGTCTAAAAACCTCCCCATGATGAGAAATGTCCGTCCTCTCCATCTTTTGTCTGCGCTACTTTTCAGAAAATGTGTGTTTTTCCCTTAATGACATCACAAAGGGCAGTAACCCCTCCCCCAGGTGGGTGACACTCCCACAGCTAGGTGTTCTGCCCTCTGAGTCTGCCTTCTCACCGTAAACAATAGGACATGGAGCGAGAAAGACCAAGACACCTAAGACCTTCCAGAGAGGGGGCGTGGTCAGACACAGCTCATTTACATTTGAAGGTACAGACACAGAAACAGCCGATTCTGAGCGGGGCTGAATTAGAGGGGTTTATAGGCATGATCAAATAAAGGATCAGAGTGGATTTAGAACAAGAGAAGCATATCTGTAAGTAATGAAATAAGTTTTTACCTCTGTGCGGCAGATCATTTAGCGTGCACGCTGAGCAGACATGTTGAGAATGTCACCATAAACCTGTTCTGTCATTCCTCACTTGCAGGTCTCTTGTTTAGGAGACACAAATCCAGAGCTGTTCGTAAAAGTGTAATCTCTGACAACAATGCAGCAGCCAGTATGTCCTCCTTCTAACTTCAGATTCTGCTCCTGAATGCTCTGGATTTGTTTGGACCAGAGAAGGTAGACTCCTCGGTTTGCCAGACATGAAACCAGTTATCAGGTCAAACCAACAGGTGTTGCAGCGATGGAAGCGGGCAAGAGAACTGGTTCAGATAGAAGTGATTGTACCCGACCTAAAAAGCCTCTGCATGTTTCTAATAAGCTCCACGAGCAGAAACGTGCTCAAACTAGGATCAATATTGGAGATGCTTTTGAAAAATGGAGAGAGGTTAGAACGCAGAAAGGTTTACAGACCGATGCAGAGCTGGATAAACACTGAAGCTTCAGTGTCCACCACATGGCAACCTGCGTGAGCATCGACTCTGGAGAGGAGGGGGCGGGTCTAAACAGCTCTCTACAATGTTTAGAATTGAGACTGCAGTACCCATTTTAAACACTAGGGGTCAGAGTTACATATTACTCATTTGAGCACCTGCCAGGTATTGTTATCAGCTTCCATTTATCAAAGGCCAGATTACAAATTATTGTTAAGAATCAAAATCAAATTAGAGTTAAATTAAAGAAATATCATATTTTACCACTTTTGTAGTCCATTTAAGTACTCTCGCAGAATGAAGAACATTCAGGTAAAAGTTTGTTATCAATGTTAATATATTCACCTGGCATGATTTAGAGTTCAAGTTTGCCTACTCGCTACGACTAATAGATGCATTTACTAAAATGTGCAACTAGCTCCTGTTAACAAAATATATAATTGCTTACCGTCTATTGTTGACACTGTCACATTTTTGCTGCCATGAAACGTCACATATATGTCACAACCATAGACTGTATGTCACAACTCCAATTTCGCCCTGGTGATTACGGCTTTATGAGCCGTTCATGAGCTCGTTAACACGGTAGATCCGATCTTTCCGAGGAGCACCTGAAGGCAGCATTTAGTAACCAAGTTTAGATTGGCAATCGCTTTCAACCCAACACTCTTCCTTTACAAATTATTCTGCAACAAAACACAAAGTCATGTTCCTCGTGTGTGTAAATGTGTTTGGTAATGAAGAAACGATCCATTCACTGTCAATAAAGTTATTTTAAACACACAAACAAAACATGTTCACCCCAGATGGGACTCGAACCCACAATCCCTGGCTTAGGAGGCCAGTGCCTTATCCATTAGGCCACTGGGGCTAAGTAATGGTTATAATAACGCATAATCATTAAATAGAATACAAAGTTATTATACACACGTTTATATTAATCATTTACTTTTAAAACTTGAGTTGACGACATACATTTAGCGTATTTTATCATAATAGTTAATGATCTATCGCGCTACGCTACTGCCCCCCTCTGGCGGACATGTGTTATTAAATATTCCCCAACTGTGCTGTTAAAAACCCTTCTCCTCTCGGAAGCATTGAATTGTGTTTAAATGAACCATTAACATTAACCATTCCGTCTTAACCATTACTGATAGTGCGAGTTAAACAACGTAGGGGTGAAACTCTCGCTGAGTTGAGTTCAAGAAGTTAAGAGAAAAGTCCCTCTGATGTGTGCTGACAGCTCAGCTCCCTCCGAGCAGGAACCAGCAGAGTCCGCAGGAGGACTGAGACTCGGATAGGTCTTCAGGCAGCAGCTTCTGGATAATCGATCACACGTTTAATAGAGGATAAACGTGTTTATTTCAGTTAAATAATGAATTTATTACCGTCTAATCCTCACGGAAATGGGCTCCTTTATGCTGGATTCAACCAGGATAATGGTAAGGAGCGGCACTGTTGTCATGTGTTGTTTTTCTTCTTCTTCTTACAAATGGAAACCGTCGTGAATGCTAAGCTAACGATGCTAAACCGTTTAATCTCCTAAATCAACCATGACGTAAAAAAAAACAAAAAAAAAACCGGCTCTACATTTTCCCCTCATCTAGGAATGCGTTAATCATAATGTGACACAAATGTCACAGCAGAAACATTAACTCAGAGCGTCACAGCGTTAAAAAAAAAAAATCAGCGTTAGCCAGCTGATGCTAACGTTAGCTTCCGTGGCTAGCCAGCTGATGCTAACATTAGCTGCCGTGGATAGCCAGCTTAGGCTAGAGTAACTTTGTTTGTTGTCATGTAATAGACAGTCAGTTGATGTGAGGTCAACACGACATGCGTTGTTAACAGACATGTGCTTTAACTGGATTTGTACAATTAATATCAAAAGCTAATGCTAAGCCGTGCCTTGGTTAGCACAGCGGCTAAACCGCTGGCTAATTTGTCTGTTATTACCCCTTATTCAGATAATGTCGTGTTTTTAATGTCGCCTGATTTTAAATTCAGTACCTTTTTGCTTACTTTATTGACATACTCGGCCCTGTTACATGCCTATCTCTTCCCACCCACACACTTCAAACAGGCCTTGAAGTTAACATACCACTACTGTTTCTCATTTATAAACATCAGTGTGCTGAAACATCTGGTGCCAAGTAGCTTCATTAGATCAGATAATTATGTAACCCTGTAATTATTTGTGTCATTTGACTTTTCTGTGGTGTAACGGGACTAAATTAAAGACTCGAAAGACCTCATGTGACCCCCTTAAACAACAAGAACCAGTGAACTCCCCCTCACAGTCATCGTATGTCAACACACAAGTGTTAAAGTTTTATACTCCACCCTCGCAGGTTAATTATTTGCTCCATCTGCTCCATGTCAGCTCTTCTTTTATGTTTTATCACCGTTCTGGGTCAGTTGGTCGAAATAAAAGGAGCTCCTCCAGTTCTGTGTTTTTACTACTAATTAGTGTTGGACAAAGTGCACAACTTCTTGACTTGAGTCAAAGTTCTCCTGGTCAAATATTACTCCAACAAAAGTGAAGGTTGCTCAGTCAAATTAAGTGCAGTGCTTGCTTTTAAAAAAATACTACAGTATTCAAACATATATTTAAAGAAAACCTCTAAACATTGTATTTTCACGATGCATGAGTGCAGTTGAGAATACATGGGTGTACATTCTGCGACGTTATCTTTATTATGACAACGTTATTTACATTTTTTTAAGCTTACAGGCTTAAGATTTACAGATTTGCAGCTATCAGGAACAACCAAGAATACCCGGTGAGCCGGGGAAAATGTCAGCCAGACTTTACACAGAGAGAAAACATTATTTCAAAACATGGGCTTAAGATATGACCATGGATGAGAGTCGTCATCCTTCTCTGCCGCAGCCATCACCACCGCTAAATGAACGGCCATCAAAAAGTACAGACATTATAAAACACTACATTTATTTCAGAAGACTGATAAGTAGGAGAGGAATGAATCCTTCAGATACTCAGAAACTCCTATCAGGGCATATCAGGGCACACACTATCTCATTTTCACAAAGCCAGTTTGCCAAATGTGCAATTTAGTCCGTGTGCAGGAGTTTGTCTTCAATGTTTGATAACTGAAAACAAGAAATGACCTGATATTTGGCAACTAAGACTTTTATTTAGGTCTCTATAGTATGGACACGGGGAATCGATATCTTTACACACAAATGTAGTGATTTAAAACAAAGTGATTTATAAGTGTGATTCAGGAGAAATGAAACAGCTTCTTTAGGATTACTTTATTCATCACACTTCATTTCATCATCGCTTGATTAAAATGTAGCATGGGCCTAAGATAGAAATAGACTTACATTTAAAAATAAAACTGGAGGTAAATTGGCCATATTTTAGCCTTTAAAAACTCAAAACTGTATGTATTAAAAGTGTTGCAGATTGTAAAGAAATATCGCAATGTCCCTCTTTCCCATATCGTTCGGCCCTCGTACGGTGTTAGGGTCTTTTCAGTTTGAGTGACGCTTGTGTAAAGCCCCCGATATGACCAATGGGACCTCCGTTTTCTTCTTCTTGTGTTTCTCTCCAGGATGCTTCGCCTGTGGGATGGAGAACGGATTCCGTGTGTACAACACAGATCCTCTTAAGGAGAAGGAGAAACAAGGTAACAAGCTTTTTAAGCATCAATAATTAACAGAGAATCATTTTCCACACTGATCGCATGTTTTGTCAGTCGCTTTAAACTCACAGAAGTTCAAAGCGCCGTCTGCTAAACTACAGAAACCAAAAACTGAGAGCAGGAAGAACAATCCTTAAATATGATGCTGATGAATTTTATTCCATCAACATTAATGGACACAAATGGATCCGTCTAAAAGTGTCGCTCACCTCTATTCATGTTCATTCAAGTTAAAGTGACAACATTTTTTTCAGATCTCCGTTTTGGTGCTGAATGATAGAATATATTTATTCAGGTGAGACGGCTGAAGAGAGACAGGTAATGTTGGGAGGAGAGAGTGGGGGATGGGGAGGTTGTCGGTCTTCTCTTGTCGGGATGTCGATGGTTTGATCCCCAGCTCCTGCAGCTACATGTCTGATGTGTCCTTTGGAGAGACATTTAACCCCAAGTTGCTCCCACTGCTTTGTCGGCAGTGTATGAATGGGATTAGTTATGTCTGATGGTCTCTTTATGCAGCAACCTCGACCATCAGTGTGTGAATGTGTAGGTGTGACCTCCGGTGTGAAAGAGCTTTGAGTAGTCTGAAGACTAGAAAAAGAAATATACAAGCTCAAGTCCATTTACTATTTCCCATGAAATGCAGTGAAGGCCTGATAAGAACCCAGGGTCTCTATACATGAGGTGCGTGATTAAACCACTCAGCGCCCCAAGTCTGACTTTTTAAATATCGGTTTCAAATACTTAAATCGACATCTTTCTTGTCATTTTTGTTTATTCTCAACAGTTGAACTTTTGTTAACAAAAGTTTGACTTTAAATAAAATGTATTTCTTACACCTTCGATCCTTGTGATTAAAGGACTGAGGTGTCTTGACTTGACGTTTGGCCCAATCTCATTCATTTTTTTACTAAAAAGTCGTTAAGCTGTTCAGTGTTTTATGTTTTATATTATTGTTTTTTGTGTTGGAGGATGAGAGACACAAACATTAAACCTGCACAGATTACTTTTAAAGTTTGATTCATGCAGTTTGATGAGTCAAATATCCAAGTTAGAGATGTTGTTATGTACCATGAAATTGAGGAGTCAGGTGTCTCAGCTCTCAAAATGAAGTCAGGAGAAACATGCACTGAAGGTTTTATAAAACAAACTGATGATTGAAGAATATAAGAATCACACTTGTTGTCAGGCAGTCTCTTTTTAAACCTTTTTGGCTCATGACTGAAGGGAAAAAGAGCCAGTCATGCTGCACATAGGAAATAAAAAGTTCCTTAAATAAGGAGGGATAGAAGAGGAAGTCTCCCCCGAACAGGCCTGAAAAACGTGACTCAGCACATGACCTGCTGCAGAGTTTCCTTCCTGGAATTGACCAATACAGAAGTCGATCCTCAGACCCAATGTGCTCTTTCATCTTTTATTTTTTCTGTGTTAATCCGTGTGAAGCTCTTTGATGAAAGTCTTTACAGCACAGAGCGCTGATGGGGGGGGGGGGGGTGCAGTCTCATTGTGAGTGATGCAGAGGACTGCTTGTCATTGTGGTCTGCTGTCTGTTGTGCACAGACAAGCCATTAGAGATGAGTGAGCAGCATATTGCAAATGTTATTTCCAGTTTACGGTCAGCTGATAAGAGCCGCACCTCTTTCTCTGAGTCATTCACACACGTATTATTCTTCACCACCGAAATGCTGTTTACTTTCAGAGTTCCTGGAGGGCGGGGTCGGCCACGTGGAGATGCTGTTCAGGTGTAACTATTTAGCACTAGTGGGAGGAGGAAAGAAACCCAAGTACCCAACCAACAAAGGTGAGTTTGTGTCTTTTCAGTTGCAGGACTCATTCATTGTGTTTTTATCGTTTGTGCTCGAGTCGGGCCGGGGCTTCTCTTCTGGCAGAAATCTGTCCACATTCAGAGTTATTTGACAATGTTTTTTTGTGATCAAATATTTATCAGATATTTTTGCAATATGGTGAGGCAGCAAAACAATTACATGAGTTCCATTGGCACAATGTAATCGGGCTTTGGAGAGCCGTTCCCTCACTCACAGTGCATGTGCCTGTTTCAAGCAACATGCTACCATTCTGTTAGCACCTGTAAGACCAGCTAACGAAAGGTATTTTTCATTCAGGGTTAGCTCCAAGGATGAGGTGTCATTAAGAAATAATGGACATTGTGAGTAAGGCTGCTTCTTCAAAAATGCACGACAACTTGTTTGAGATATTTACCCAAAAGCTTTTAACCTCCAGGCCTTGCCAAACCATATGAATGAAGGTCCCAAATCGTCTGAACAAAAGTCACAACATGGATTATCTCTGAGTCTTCAAATCATCAGGGTGTGAAATATGACCTGTGAATGAATTTGTAATGAATCATTTGATGGTTTAAATTTGTTATTTGACAATGTTAAAAAAATGTCAGCTGTTCATTTTGTTTCACTCGGCATCATCAGACCTGCAGGAAACACAAAACACAGCTACAGGGAGTAAGAATAGAAAAGAAAGCTTTAATGTCTTTAGACAACTTTCAAAGAAATTAGACAGGCTTCATCTTAAAGTGCACAAACTTTCTGACATCCACAGCTACAAACAGCTCGCATTCATGTAGGGGAAAATATTCTGAATATTGCGCAGTGAAACATTATTTTACCACAAGTTAATATATATATATATTTTGCATTGGTGTAAAAGTTTATATTGCATGGAAGGAGGGAAATATATATTGTAGATTTAAATACCAAAATCTTTCATTAAGAAATAAATAAGGCACGACAATAGCTCAGTCTGTAGGGACTTGGGTTAGGAACTGGAGGGCTGAAATGTCCATGAGCAAGACACCCAAAAACCATCTCAGACCCCCCCACTCCACCTTCAAGAAATCCCTAAAAACTAACGTCTTCAACATTGCCTACAACTTGAGTGTTGAAACTGGTGATAAATAATAAGAAGTTTATTTACGCTGCTGGTGTTAGAATAAGTCGTCAGAGATGAAGATAAGTTAATAATTATTGAATCTCTTCTTCTTCTTTTTGTCACTGCAGTCATGATCTGGGACGACCTGAAGAAGAAAACAGTAATTGAGATTGAGTTCTCGACAGAAGTCAAAGCAGTGAAGCTTCGACGTGACAGGTAAAAAAAACTCTAAAAAACAAAGATCCTCACTAACCGGAGAAGTTAACGCTTGTTCATCCATCAGCGAGCGTCCGTCTCCTGTCTCTTTGTCTTTGTCTCTCTTCTGTCTTCTGATTCGCTCCGAGTGTGGGACCAGGTGTACTACGAGGTTTGGATGCTGAATCTTACTCAGCTTTGTCATATCGGATTTGATTGCATCAGATTCATGTCCCTCCTGTCAGCATGCTTGAGCTGTAGCTCAGTGGGGATCTAAGTTAGCCTCGAGTCCTGAAGTCTCGTCGCCCTGGTTTTTGCGGTGTGTTCGTCGCCTCATGTTCTTTGCCGTCTGCTTGCTGTGTCAGGGCCTTTATACCCTGGGGAATAGTCTGCAGTGTACCTTGTTTTCTGCGTGTTTTGTTATCGGCCTCTTTTTGTCGTTTTTTCAGCACATTTTTCTTTCCGTTAGCGATGTCTGTTACCAGAATCAAATCCGAAGAGGAGGATTTTAATCCTCCCGCTTCGTTCACAGTTTCTGTAAAGAAAACCATCAGACCCCTTTACTGCAGGCTCACGACGATGGAGCCTCACTCTTTTAACATTTCTTTCATTGGATAAAAGTGTGATCATGTCCACGTTGGTGTTCTGGCGTTTGGTTTAATGTCTGCCTGGCTGTTGCCTCTCCTCTGTCCTCAGGATCGTGGTGGTCCTGGACTCCATGATCAAAGTCTTCACCTTTACCCACAACCCCCATCAGCTGCACGTGTTTGAGACCTGCTACAACCCCAAAGGTCAGTCCACTCTACTTTAACTGGGAGACTTTAAAGGGAGATTCTTCTCTAAGTTATTTGAGTTTAATCTGCTCATCTTATCCACACAGACACACCTGCACCTCTCTGTTCATACACACAGCAGCCTGTCCCGCCCTCAACTCGTTCTGCAGCTTTGTTTTGTGTGTGTTTTTAACTAATATTCACCAGTGGACCGTTACTGTACAACTATTAAAATGACGGCACAAGAAGCTAGTTTTAAATCAGACGTAGCATGTAGCATCTCAATCGATGTTAATGGGAGGGATGTACAGTCAGAGGACTCTCTCTCTCTCTCGCCCTCACGTGCAGTTATTGAATGGATGAGAAAAAGAAAAAAGAAAAAAGATTGGAAATATATTTTTGGGCGATCCGAGTATCATCTATAAGTGGAGAAACATTGCTAATGTTGAGTCCTTTGTGACTAAAAGGTAGAAAATGTTTGAAATATGGGGCACAGATTTGAAAAAAAGAATTAACCCTTTTACATCAGCCTGTCGTACTTTCCACACTCTCTTAATGTCTTACACCGAGCCTTTAGTGTTGACAAACATCTGAACGTTGTAGTGGCTCAGTGATCACCTCAAGGTCACAAACACAGAAAGAAAGGTCAATCTCCAACCGATAATGTTTTGTGTTGCCTGAGTTACCGTCACATTTCTCGCCAGTTCTCCACATTCACTCCAGACTTTTCCAGCCTCGGCTGTCTGTACACACTTTTATTTACGGCACGCTAAACCTCCTTTTAAAACCTCAGAACATTGGAAACAAGTGAAGTTCCGGTGACGGCTTCAGCAAAGATTATGTAAATAAACTCAAACCCCTCTCCCCCCCTTTTTCCTCTCCTCAGGTCTGTGCGTGCTGTGTCCAAACAGCAACAACTCTCTGTTGGCGTTCCCTGGGACTCACTCGGGCCACGTGCAGATAGTCGACCTGGCCAACACGGAGAAGCCTCCGGTTGATATCCCCGCCCATGAGGGGGCGCTGTGCTGCATCGCTTTAAATCTGCAGGGCACAAGAATAGCTACTGCGTCAGAGAAAGTGAGCCATGTTTGGATGGGAGGAAAGATACTGAGAACTAAAGTGGTGTGTTGGAAGGCTTCAGTAGTTCCTGTTGATGCTGATCCGTGGTTTATTTTTCCACAGGGGACTCTTATTAGAATTTTCGACACATCAGCGGGTCAGCTCATACAGGAGTTAAGACGAGGATCTCAGACAGCCAACATTTACTGGTGAGCACCGAACAACAACACAGTTTGAATCTTTACCTTAATGCACTGAAACCAGATGAAGCTGATGCTGAAGTGCCTGCCGTTCCTCGAGTGTCCACTAGAGGCTGGCTGCAGAAGCACAGGAAGTCACATACACACAACAGCCAAAAAAAAGTGCTCACACTGTACAACCCGAATGCCGGGGAATGACCTGAGAGCTCACGCTGTACGAGTTAAATCAGGATGGAGCATTCACAAACCTCAATAGAAACCTCCCACAGACGAAGGACGGTTCAAATAGCGGACACGGATTCTTATTCTTCTTATTTATTCCATCTGTATGTCTTTTCAGCATCAACTTCAACCAGGACGCGTCCCTCATCTGTGTGTCCAGCGACCACGGCACCGTTCACATCTTTGCTGCAGAGGACCCGAAAAGGAACAAACAGTCGAGGTTAAATTACGCTAAATGTTTTTAATATGTTTAATATGTTTTAACATCTTTAATACAATCAACTGATTGTATTTGTCTTTCTGCAGTTTGGCATCAGCCAGCTTTCTCCCCAAATACTTCAGCTCTAAGTGGAGCTTCTCCAAGTTCCAGGTCCCCTCGGGGTCTCCGTGCGTGTGTGCCTTTGGGACAGAGCCTAACGCAGTCATAGGTGAGCTCAGAGTGGAGGGTGCAGCTTTTTAAGGATCAGGATCAGCTCATGGTTACGGTTAAGAGTCAGTATCTCTAACCCTTTTCACACATACGGAAATCTCCTGAAATACTCGGGAGATTTCCAGGAGGAGCTGCATGTGTGAACGCAACAGCCAAATGTTTTACTCCGATATTACCCGGAGTTTATCCGGCCAGACCCCTTAGTATTTTTTCCGCAGATAATCCGGAGGAGCAGATGTCTGAACGCAGCCGAATATACTCCGGAGATTTTCAATTTGAGCCAATAGGAAGAGAATGACATTTATATAATGACCGGCTAAAGTCTGCCCGCGACCACTACGATCTCCGTGCACGTAATTAAACGGCTGCATGATGTTTTCTGTCCGTCAGTATGTTGTTCTCCACTCTTTTGTGGATGTTATCATTCCATTGGATTACACATAGCATTGATATAAAGACAAATATTCTCATTATAACGTTGTGTAGCAGACTCTGTTGCTTCGGCCGCGACTTCCGCGTTGTTTATTTACGTCACGTCTTACGTCGGGAAATCCCCCGAGCCCCCTTCCCTCTGACAGGGAAGTCCCCCGCTGTGAGGAGCATATGTGAACGGCTAGGTCGGGAGAATCTCCGGAGAAGTCCTCCGGTAAATATCTAGATATTATCCGGAGTGCATATGTGAAAACGGCTAAAGGCTGGATGGAATATCTGTACTATGAGATCAAAAGACTAACCCAGGGTCTTTCTGAGGTAAGACATGATGTAAGAGAAAGATGCGGACGAAGTAACAGTGTCCTCTATATATACAGCGCTATAATGAGAATATTTGTCTTTCTATCAATGCTACGTGTAGTTGAACAGAATCTCAATCTGAACTAAAGAGTGGAGAAGAACATACTGGAGAACAGGAAACATAATGCAGCAGGTTCATTAGAGCACGGAGATGGTAGAGGTGGCGTGGACGTGCAGTGATCACAGGGAATAAACGTCACCACCCCCTTCCACTCGCTCCAGGTGAATTCTCCTGATTATATCCTGCTCACTCAGACTTTCTGCAGAAAATTAACTAGGAGGTTGGCAGAAGAAACTCCAGGTAAAGTCTGAGTGGAAATTCGTCTGTTTGTATTCACACATGCAGCTCCCCCCTGGAAATATCGAGTTTACTGTGAGCGTGAAGGCGTTTTAGAGCCATCTGAAAATTGCAGAACGGCAGCTCTTCTGTGTGTGTGATTTTGCTGACGTTCTCTTTTCTCCCCACCATGCAGCCATTTGTGCTGACGGCAGCTACTACAAGTTCCTTTTCAACCAGAAGGGGGAGTGTTCCAGAGACGTGTACGGCCAGTTCCTGGAGATGACCGATGACAAAATATGACCCTTCACCCCTCTGCAGACTCACCATCACACAGGCTGTTTTTCTGTTGTTTTTTTTTTTCTTTCTGTTTTTTTCTTTCGGAGGAATCCCACGTTGCACTTCTCCGTATCCTGACAGACTCTGTGAAGGAGCCGCAGATGATCGGAGGACAATAGAGAGAGAGAAGCACAGACTTGTGGAAACCCCTCACAGCGAAGACGAACAAACAAACAAGCGATGTAGACGTTTGTCTCTCACAGACTCCTGGGAGAGTTTGTCTCTGGACGGAGGCTCACGCACGCCCGCCTGACTTCAAACCAAACTCCAGAGGGAAAAAAAAAAAAAAGAGGGAAAGTTATTTTTTGAATGAGCAACACACCGCTTTTTAAGACGTCTTCCGAGGAATTTACAAAAAAGGACGGATTATTTTTAATCACAGAGGATTCTGATAGTTAGACAGATTGACTAACACCTCCTAACCTAACGATAGGGAGTGCCTCGAGACATGAGAGAATCTGTATGTGTGCACACATCACCATACTTACATGCGTACATGTGTCTGTAAATAACATTGTACCACAGCAGGTGTTTGCAGAGCAGGATCACAATGAGCTCACTGGTTTTTTTTTTTTTTTGTAAGGTTCATTGAGCAGACGGATCCGGCTTCATGAAGCGTCACCTGTATTAATAGACTTTCTTATATGTGCTGTAAAAACAACAAAAACACGCAGACTGAACTTCTATCTCCTCTCAACTGTACAGAGCGGAAGAAAATGTAAAGTGTGTTTTTGTTTCTCGTCTTTTTTTCTTTCTTTTTCACACGTGCAATATGTGTTTCCCCAAACTGTTTCTGTTCAGAGACCGTGGAGGTCGTTTGCCCGGGAGGAGGTTAAAGACATCGTTTATCGGTTATATCTGTCGTTGTGAGGAGATCATGAGAAGATTAAAACTGTTAATACGGCAGGCGAGCGTGCAGACTGTACACACCTGCTGCTCTTTACGATGACTGAACGTTAGCTCATACTGATCCCCTACAGCTCAATCGCTCACAACAGCTTCTCTAAATCTGTTCAAACACCTAACTGTAAAAAAGCATTTTCAGGGGCCGATGTGCTCGATTCATGATGATTTCCTTCAGCTCTGTAACCTCCTCGATGTTTAAAAGTTCCGTATGAATCGATCAGACTAACTCACCTTTCCAGCTTTTAAACAAATCTTACAGTCATGACTCTGACGTTGATCTACAGCAAGAAGAGTTATAACCACACTCCACCACTATTACCACTACACTCCACCACACCATTCAGGCTACACAAAAACTTACAAATAATCAGTGTTCGAGGATCTAATCTTTATGGTACAGAAGTTATAGTTTCAGACAGCTGTTATCCTTTAAGAGGTTTGAGGGTGAAAACCTGAAGAGCCACCTGTCCTCATTCTGTTTAATTACAACCTCTTACCACTTTCCTCTCAAAAAAGTTTAAGTTACTAATTCATCATACATTACGACTTTCATCTCATAAAGTACGACTTTTATTCAAATTACAACTTTCCCCTTAAAATAACATCTTTCTCATAAAATTACGACTTTCCTTCCAGAAAAGTTCTGACTAATTCATTATACGTTACGACTTTCCTCTCTTTGAAGTACGACTTTTCCCTCAAAAATACCCGCGTTTCTTTCATAAAATGACGACTTTATTCCCGTAATGCTGTGACTTTATTCTCTTGCGTCTTTTTTCCTGTAACCTCAGTATTTAATTATCAATATCTCTCTTTATTTTCTCAGTCCTAGGTTCTGAGCGTGAACATCGTAAAAGTTTAATTATTTACTCTTACTGCCGGTGATCAAATAAATGTTTCATGATTTACTTTGAAAATACTATTTTATTGAAAATCAGATGAGAAGATAAATAAACACCAAGTAACCTGTAAGCAAACTAATCTAAATGAAGCTACAACCAGAAGCTACTTTGGTTAGCCTAGCTTAGCATAAAGACTGTAAATGGTTTTTATGCTAAGCTAATGTTACCTCTTCACCAAACAAGTTTCAAAAATGTGTAAAAACCAAGTAGATGACACACGGAGTGTAAAATCACCACGGATGATGACAGTGTTTATATTTTCCACGACAACTCTATTCCCTTCTATCAAGGTTTTATGCTAAGCTCAGCTAACTAGCCTTAGCTTCTTACTCACATTAAAGTAGTTAACATTCCTCATAACTAGAAGGAGAGTTATTGTATTTCCCTTCATCTTAATGTTTTTTAAAGAGTTTCCAGGAGTGCTGTGTTTTACGGCGGCGTGTTGCATTCACATGACTTAGTTTTTCTGAATGATCAAAGATACCGGTCCCTCAAACTCCCACCAGCAGCTCTCATTTAGACCCCTGAAAGACACAAACCTTCACAGACTGTTAAGTATAACTCGGCTTCATCAAGGTTTGGGTTTTGACACACGTGTGTAGATACTCATGTCTTCAGGTTAGAGATGCTGTTGTGAGTTTGTTGACTTTATGCAGACGATGAGACGCGTGTCAGACTTAATGTTAGGCTAACATAAGCTAACGAGCCTCTAGCTCACTGGCCTGCCCTCAGGACCCACCAACCAAACTCCTTTAGAAGAAATTGCGACCCAAAACTTCTTTAAAATGATAAAATGTTGCAGGTTGGACCTCGGATAGAGAGAGCAAAAAAAGAAACAAAACAAACATGTTTAAAAAAAGCCAATAGCTTAGCGGTTATGCATGGAGGTCGAACTCCTCATCGCAGCGGACGTGTGTGTCGTCCCCCACTCTCTCTCTCTCCCAACATTTCCTGTCTCTCTTCAGCCGTCCTGTCTAGTAAACCCCAAACTTAAGCGCTTCGTAGACTTTTTGAAACCATTTCTCTCCAGGCTCACACATTCTGGACCCACTGAGAACGGCTCCTTGACCATCTTTTGGGTCCCGACCCACCACTTGAGAACCTCAGCTCTAGCTTTAGTTTGACCGTTCAGACCTCAGAGCTGCGTCAGACTTCTCACAGCAAGAAAGAAAAGAGACCGATTCCCCTTAAAATGTTTGAAATGTTCCTTTAAGTTTGTGAGATTTGAGCATCTCTTCTTGTCGTACTCAACGAGCACGCTTTCCATCTTAACTGTTTTTATTTCCACACTAAAGCGAAGATCGGCCGTAAAAATATTACAAATGTTTTGCACTTAATATAAAACTGCACTTCTTAATGTGGATACATGATCAGTCTGATAGAATCAGAGGTGGTCTGCAGGATCACAGCTTCTCCCTGCACCCTTCTGTCGTCTCATTTGCGTTCATCTGCTTCGCCCCAAAACAGCAGCGAGCCGTTCAGCTAACGCACTGATGAAGATCTGCTCAGTATGGATCCAGCTAAAAGGAGTGTGAGTGTAACACAATGACTTCTAACACTTTGTTTTCTTTGTCACACATCTGTTGACTCCGTGCATTCTCTTCTTGTGTTGCTCTCTTTCTGCATCAGATTGTACAGCTGCAGGTGTCACAGCGCTCGCCGCTCACGGCACAAACTGAAAAGCCAACGTGTTTCTGACACTCTCAGAATGATTGTAAAACCTTCATTTAAAGTTGTGAATAAAATTTAACATCTGCTTTTACAGTTAAAATGTACGGGCTGGTTCATCCTCTCCATTGATTTAGATAATTCGATGTTGTTCTGGATCATCTGCAGAGGTTTGATGGTGTTTGTAGAAAGACCTGCGTGATATCACAAGAGTCTGTACCAGGAGCTGTGTAGCACGCTCTGATGTTCAGGGAAACCCGACATGACCGGGTGATCGAGGCCACTTGAACCTTCAATGTTAGCTAGTCATCAATCATGACACATACACTTACCGGCCACTTTATTAGGTACGGCTGTTCAACTGCTTGTTATTGCAAATATCCAATCAGCCAATCACATGGTTACATGTCGTAAAACCAACAAAACCAAGGTCCCTGTGTGCTAACTGAGCATCATTTAAACGCCACAGCCTGCCTGAGCATTGTTGCTGACCTTGTCCAACCCTTTATGACCACAGTCCATCTTCTGATGACTACTTCCAGCTGGATAACACACCATGTCACAAAGCTCATATCACCTCAAACTGGTTTCTTGAACATGACAATGAGTTCACTGTACTCAAACGGCCTCCACAGTCACCAGATCTCAATCCAACAGAGCTCCTTCAGGATGTGGTGGAAAAAAGAGATTTCTCTCATGGATGTGCAGCAGAGAAATCTGCAGCAACTGTGTGATGCTGTCATGTTGATATGGACCAAAATCTCTAAAGATATGTTTCCAGCACCTTGTTGAATCTATGCCACGCAGAATGAAGGCAGTTTTGAAAGCAAAAGGGGGTCCAACCCGGTACTAGCAAGGTGTACATTACAAGTGGCCGATGAGTGTATGCTCCTTCAGGCTTTGTGAGCATGAGGTCAGACTCTTGATTGTGTCATACAGATGTTTTAAATGTCTCCTCAGGTCTGAAAAAGAAATCATCCTTCACACAGAGTTTGAGAGAAAACCTTGACGGAAAGAAATACAAACTAAGAGGTTTTGATGTGTTTTAAATAAATTTATAAAATAAAAAAAGCATTTACCCACTGAAGCAGAACAAACAGCTATCACTTGTTTTTCCTCGTGTAACACAGAGTACAATCCGACTCGACTGTTTTAGGAGCCCGAACAGAATCAAAGAATCAAGCCATGGTCAACACAAAGGTCACGAACACGGCCCATGATGGAAACAAAAAGTACAAAAGGAGAACATAAAAAAAAACAAAAACAACAACTAAGAGTTCAGTTAAGTGCAGCACTGGTCAGAATCATCAGGCGGAGATTCAGTCGAAGGTTTCTTCAGTTCCATATTCAGAGAATCTGCTCGTTACATCGTCTCTACATCCGTTACATGCAAGCGCCATGAAGCACACGGTCAAACACGACGCATGGGAATATACTTTAGATCTCGGAGGATATTTAGTAAAATATGAAAAACTCTGTGGATGTGCAGGGGGAGAGAGAATGATAGTGTCGTCTTTAGAAAGGAACAAAAAGAAGGAGGAGACTACATTCCTTTCACTTTTTAACAAACGGGAAGAAAAGGAATCCCAAAATATGGCGTTGAAGTGTTCGACCCCGCGTGTTTCATTATTACTAGATGGTCTCTGTGTGGTGGGAAACGTAGGAACACAGAAGAAAGATCACGTGTACGACAGAACTGCATTTCTACTCACGACGGGGGGGGGGGGGGGGGGTCAGGGGTCAGGGGTCAGGGGTCAGGGAGGTCGACACGGAGGCTAGCTGCCGAAGATGGGAATGTCCACGCGCACGCTTCCCTTTGCGTTCACTACCGGTGTTTATGACGCTTTTCTACCGGACACAGTTTAAGCGCTTTAATGCTACCAGGGTGAGGCTCCTTCTCGCTCGCTCGTCCAATGTCTCTCTCTTTTTTTTTTTTTTTTTTTTTTTTTTTTTTAAACTTCCTGTGCTTCTTCTCTCCGTCTGGGTCTTGAACTTCACAGTCATCTTTTTTTTTTTTTTTTCTTCAGTTTGGTCTCTAGTTTTTGCATCGTGGTCTTAAATAAATGGAAGAGGATTTGAACATTCTGGAGTCCTGCAGGTGTTTCCGTGTCTCGTCTCTGATTGGCACCTTGGAGTCGATGATGACCAGGTGGGAGGATGAAGGAGGAGGAGGTGAGAAAGAAAGTGAGGATGTGGGGAGGCTCACTGCGTTCAGGAGAGCGGGGGGGGTCAGGCTACTTGTCGCCGTTGCGTTCACTGACCCCTCCCTCTCCGGCTCTGTCCGTGGTGCCGTTCTTCTTACTATTGTTGTTCGCCGCCGCGTCACCCGCCGCCACTTCCTCTGTTTTCAGCCTCTTCAACTCGGGTTGCTCTTTCAGTTCTCCGTTCTGCCTCTTGGTGGGGAGGGACGCCGAGGCTGAGGCGTGAGCCGCCAGAATGTGGAGGGGGTTTGCAACAGCTGGGGGAGAGAAAGAGGCCGTTATAAAGAAGATCAGAACGGCAACGTGCAGGATCAAAAGTGAAAAACAAGTTAGAGCTCCTGGTGCTGCTCTTTGGGTTCAGATGGGTCTCAGTTTAGACCACAAGACCCCAAAACCTAAGAACTGCATCACCACCACGTCACTACCGAGCTAACACTAAAAGCCCGCCCCACAAATCCGACAAAGGAAGCAACGAATGAGGAAACAACAAGGAAGTACTTTTGGCTGTGCGTGCGTGCGTGCGTCAGTCACCTGGGCTAGCAGCAGTAGTGATGGGGACCAGGTGGGTCCCGTTCTGTGTGATGGCCTTTATGGGGAGCTGGTGCTGTCCGAGTGGAGCTTGTTGGACGATGGTCACCGTGGTCAGCGGAGCAGCCTGAGAGCTCTGAATGATCCGACTGACTCCCCCTATAGACGCGGCCTTGATGGACGGGACCGGCTCCACTTTGACTGCAAACACAGAAAAACCTCATCAGACTTGACATACAGACAAACAGACACAGAAGAGATAACAGACACATCAATAACAAATCCTCTGAATTGTTGAGCATGCAGACGCCATCATGTCTTGCTCCACATCATCACCCTGACTCTCTCACAGCTGGATTAATCTCCCTCCTCCATGACCTGGGCCTGGATTAAGTTTCCTGCTGCTGCCGGCTACTTGATGCTGACCAGGTCCCGGTTTGATGATCTGCAATCCTGGATCAGTACCAAGACCCGGGTTGATGACCCGTTAGTTCTGATCAGTACCAAGTCTGTCTGACTGCAGCATGAACCCAAAGTAAACTGATTAAATGACGATAAGCGACATCAGGATGCTGATTTCTATTTAGTCTTGTTGCTTTGTCAGCTCTGTGTGCAAGTTTAAAAATGCTTTCTATGTAATAGAGTCTGGTCTGTCCATATCTGTAGAATCATCAGATGAGTCTCAACAGCAGCCCTGTTCAGCTGAGCCAGCGGGGGAGCCGGGCTTTTGCAACGCCCCTACGTGATGTGAATTCACAGACTGGGACGCCAATATTACGCCCCCGAATCAACATGAATGTACAAAGTCGTGACGACGGTCGAGCTCAGTTGATGCTGATACGAAAAAGAAAAGAGCTGCTGATTGGCCTTTGCTAAACGGGGTAATTAAAACGAGCATTATGACTTTTTTTTTTTTAAATCATGTGTGTCAATGATCAAACTATCATTAGTTGCAGGCTGCATTGAACTCTTCTTTCTACTCTGACATCACGGTCTGCAGTTTCATTTTTCCATCGGGTACTCTCAGGTGAGACCGGCTTCAAAGACGACGGCGTGTTTCAGGCCTCACCTTTCATCTCTTTATGATCTCCGCCCCCGTTCTGCTGAGTTTCTGGGCTCGCTGTAGCGACATGCTGTCCGGTAACAGTTGCCATGGTCACGGCTGGGATCTGGTGGACAACGTGCATGGTCTGCATGACGGGGGCGGAGCTTGGAGTTGTTGTCACTATGGCCGGCGTGGCCATGGTGTAGGTCACAGGCTTCATGGTCGTTTGAGGCATCTGGCGTTGCACAGCGATCAGGACCGGCTGGTGGTTGAGGGGGGCGCCTGTCAGAGGGGGGCGGGGCTACAGGTTACTGACAAACTCTTCGCTGCACAGTCATAGAACGCCACATAAAGGTTTGAGAAGACGATTAAATGATGTGACCTGTTTTACCGGGGGAGTTCTGTGCGAAGCGGGCCTCCTGGATGACGGCCAGTTTGGGCTGGACTATGGCGGTCTGGGTCGGGGCGGGGGGAGGTGTTGGTTCTGGCTCCATTGGGACTGGGGAGCCCTCCCTGGACAGGCTGTCTGGGGTCTGGACCCCACTGGAGTGGGCAGACAGCGCCCCCGTGTGGCTGGGAGAAGCTGGAGCACTCCTGAGTAAGAACAAAAAAAAGAAGTTTATTGAGTTTTATTAAAGAACTACAAACTCGGACTCTGGACCTGGACCAACTTTAATGCCTCTTTTAACCCTTCACCTGACGACTCAGGTGCAATAATACTTAAAAAGATACATTGTAAGACTGTTAGTATTTTAGAAAGTGTGTATTTTTAGACAGAGTAACACTTTCCCGTCGAGGCTAAGTAGTGGTTTACCTGGAGGAGAGCGGTCCCACAGGAGTCCTGAAGCAGGGCACTCCTCGGGGCCGGCGCTTCCTGAAGGCTTGATCGATCAGTTTCCCCTCAGACGCCGGGTCGATCCTCCAGAACGATCCTTTCCCCGGCTCCTCCTGAGAGCGCGCCACTTTGATGAAGTAACGGTTCAAGGACAGGTTGTGACGGATCGAGTTCTAAAGTACAAATAATTACAACAGAGTGTTACTGAAAGACAGGGGGGGGAGAAGTCAACAGTTAGATGAGAAGAGGACAGCAGGATGTTGTTTAAAGATCCAATCAGTGAGATGTGTAGTGACTGAAATGATAAAGTGACCTTACTCTATGATCAGACATTAAGGAAACATGCTATGTTGAAGTGCTGGCTTCTCTGACAACAATGCAGCAGCCAGTATGTCCTCCTTCTAACTTTAGATTCTGCTCCTGAATGCTCTGGATTTGTTTGGACCAGAGAAGGTAGGCGGTTTTAAGTCTCCCCCACACGTCAGTTTTGGAGGCCCCTCGGTTTGCCAGATATGAGAGCAGTTATCAGGTCAAAGCAACAGGTGTTGCAGTGATGGAAGCGGGCAAGAGAAGTGGTTCAGATAGAAGTGATTGTACCCGACCTAAAAAGCCTCTGCATGTTTCTAATAAGCTCCAGGAGCAGAAACGAGCTCAAACTAGGATCAATATTGGAGATGCTTTTGAAAAATGGAGAGAGGTTAGAACACAGAAAGGTTTACAGACCGATGCAGAGCTGGCTAAACACTGAAGCTTCAGTGTCCACCACATGGCAACCTGCGTGAGCATGGACTCTAGAGAGGAGGGGACGGGGGGAGACCGCTCTCTACAATGTTTTAAACTTGGACTGCATTAACCATTTTAAACACTAGGTGTCAGAGTTACATATTGCTCCTTTAATAAGCATATTTCTTGGGATGAAATTTAGACTAGAGTGTTTTTGTAGTTGTGAATCATGTAACACCAGCAGCCTCTTTTTCTATCTTTGATTTATTTTACATTTACAGGAATAAATAAGTGATAATGACTGAAAGAACTTAAACTCGACACGCTGTATGTTTATACACAGGTGGTACATGGTGAAGCCTCTGACCTGCCAGCCTTTATCAGCGGTTCTGTAGTAGGGGTAGTTCTTGGTGATGTGGGTGTATATTCCATTCAGAGTCAGCTGTTTGTCCGGGGCCATGGTGATCGCTTGGACTATTAGTTGTGCGTACGAATACGGAGGTTTGGAGTCGTCCTGTGGGGAAAAACAGAAAGTTAATGTTGAGTTAGGGAGGAAAAGGAAAGTCATGTTTTCGCTCCATGCTTTGTTGAGAGACACAAACACTCGTTCAGAGGCGCTCCGTGCTCCAAAGTCTATGTTGATGTGTGCGCTCGGCAATTTTTAGACTTCAAGGAGTAACGGGGGACGTTCACAGAACTGAGACGACGGCGACAGGACTCAGTTCAGATCCTCTCAAGTCTTTTTTTAAAACACCCTCTTTCTGTGCATACTGCTATATTCCTCACCTTTGGGCTGTCTTCACCTGAGGCGTCTTTGTCGTTTTCTGATTGGGAGTTGTCTCCGATCAGGTCGGAGGCGAGGACGCGGCCTGTCCTGTAGCTGGAAAGTCCCGCCCCCCGGGGACTCGATGGACAGGAGTTTGCCGCACTATAACATGAACAAAAACAAAAAAAAAGAAAGCTCTGTAATCCTGAACATGTGCAGAACACTGACAAGACAACATTATCATTGCAGGTGTAACCAAGATCCAGGTGTTTTTAAACCTGGCTGCTGTTTTGACGGCTTAATGATGACAACAAACAAACGTTCTTTAATCCTTACTGCAGCAAAATCCTTAGAGGAAAAGGTGAACAAGTAAAGTACATCCAGAAAAAAAGAGCTTGTTCATACCGATAAAAGGGATTATTAAAAATGCCCAATAGAAACCACAGAACCCCCCCACACCCCCCCATCATAAGGTAGCGACGCAGCTGGACACACCGCAAAAACCAGAGCGACTATCGCTCACCGACGGCCGACGATCTCCTTGGTGTGTCAGGGTCTTTACCTCGTAGATCCAGGTGTTGGGGGTCTCTGTGTTTAATTAGTGAGTTTGGATCCAACAGAATATTCCTGCATCACACATCAACACACACTAACTCACTGACTAAGGCCGCAGAAGACCAGAAACTCCCGTGTTCCTACGTTGAGGGGAAACGACTGTTTTTCTCAATGGCGTCTGGCGGTTTGTAAGATCTGTTTCTGTTTAATAAAAGCGGCGCCCTCTCAAAAACAAAAAGCTGCGTCTCTGTGGGGACCCCTTCTCTAACGTTGTCCGACACTTTAGCTTGATTTACGCTTCTGAAACCATGGCTTCTGAAACCATGGCGACTGAAACCGAAGGGGCACTGTCATTTATTTGAGTTGGAGCTGATAATGGTGCGTCCCATTCACTTTGGATCTCTGATGTCGGAGCTGAGAATGACGTCACACCCGAGTTAACAGTGTTCCAATTACAAGTCAGACAAGCAACACGGACGCGCTCCAGGAGTAACCTTCGTTTTGTTAACTACTACCACACTACGTGACAGTTTGTGCATGAACATGACATGACAACACGTCCACAGATAGAACGTGCATGATGCGATCGGAGTGATTGATTTAATTACACAAAAACGAGGACTAAGCTGCTAATACACAACAGTTACCGTCGATGCATACAGACGCTCCTGAACGTTTCTAGGTCTGACTATCAACTTCAGGGGGTGTTCCTGAAGACGTATCTAACTCTGAATTTCCAACTTCCAGTCAAATGGAACGGCAGCAGTGGATTTGACTGGCTTGTAGCGTCTTTCTTTCTGCATTACTTACTTACTTACTTACTGCGATACAGGAAGTGTTGTAAGTGCAGAAAATAAGATGCTACTCAGCGGTCCAATCACAGGGCTTGCGGTGGCATTGTTGTAGAGTCGACACAGAAATATAAATCTGAGCCTTTGAGTGCTGCAGAAACCTGAAAGAACTCCTACCTGATGGTGCCGGTGGGTGAAGGCAGTGGGCTCATGAGGTGGGCTATGTTGTCAGGAATGTTTATTGTCAGGGGGAAATTTGGGGCTGGACGGGCTTGACCGGTGATTCCGGCACGTTCCTTGGCTCCTTCTTGTCAATGGACAGGGCTGTGAACGTGATCTTTATACTTGTGCTGGGGAACCGGAAACAACACCTGTGTATGCACGGAAAAGCACAGACGACAAGAAACAGAGTGTGTATTAATGTGCAATGTTTATACTGAATTTGTCTACATATGAATGAAACAAAATCCTTCTTCTGGTGTCTCTGCACACACCAAATGATGAGCCTCCTGCCCCGCAACAAGCGGCCCGAGGAGGTCCAAGTGAGGCCAGGAGAGGAGCGCTGAGATTCAAACTCACACAGTTTAAATATGGAAGGCCACCATGAGCATTACGTAACCCTTCATGTCTTACATGTCTACTTTAGTATTAATGGGGTATATTTGGACCAGTTGCTGACAGTTTTAAATTAATTACTCATCTGGCTCAATAACACTATGGACATGTTTTACCTAATGCAGAGTGGAGGGACAGTGTGAGTCAGGACACAACAACAACAACAACAACGGTTCAATGTGAGGCTTTAAACTGAAAGAAGAAAAAGCTGGCAGATAAGCCGAACAGTGTAAACATTCCTGCACAGGTAACATGAGGCCAAGTTGACACTGAGCCAGATTAAATGAACTACAGTGCTAACCTAAGCTTCAAAGCTGCAGCTGAAACACTTGCAGAGAGTCAGAAACGTCACCCATACACTAAGTTTACTGAGTGGCTGCAGTTGAGTGCAAATCCAAAATAATTTGGTTCGTTTCATTTTTGAGAAACTATCATACAAAAGCCGATTACAAAAACTGGTCATTTTAGCGTTTCCTTCTTTGTTACCACTAAATACAAACACTGAGGACATACATGTTGAATGTATTTTTTAATTGTTGGTCACTCTGAAATTCGGCATGTAGGTATATGAAATTAACAACAACAAACTTGTCATTTTAACATGAAAAGATAGCTTTATGACGTGCACTTTAAGGAGCGTAGTAAGCAACAGTGCACGACTTCTTGGATGAAGTGTGACTATCTGAAGTCTCACTAAGGTCATTTTGTTAACTGTGGGTAGGCCGATTTAAACAGATACCTTAATGTTACACATTCAATGATAAATGGAGCAACATGTGTTTATGTTTTTGGCAAATAAGTATCGCACAACTTAACCTACACGTTTTTATATGGAGGTTTCGTATGACGTTATCGCCATGCAACTGTGCAGCACGAGACCCGCTGCTGCTTGACACAACACGTGCAAAACAACAAAACAATAACAACACATGTACACATAAATCCTCGGATTGTATAGCCAATGCAAGCAGGGGAAATCATCCTTACATTCGTGGAAGCTGGAGAGGTGGAGCCCCTCTTCTCTGGAACACCCCATCAACAAACACCCCGTTTTTTCCGAGGCATCGGAGATAGAAGTCCCCGGTGCCGGTGCCGTCTTCTCCGGCCGTGAATATCTCGAGGTGCCGGCGGGAGATGAAGCTGGAGTGTCCCATGCTCACGTCCACGGAGCCCTGCGAGGAGTTCCGGCCGATGGTCACCGACCTTTTCTTCATCAGATACTCGAATTCTCGGCCCTCGAGCCGGGCTACAGCCGACCCTGACGTCCCGCTTACCACCGCCATCTTCACAGCTTTTCAGATATTTTAGAGATGTGCGTTCAGCGGGAATATAATTTCGGTTGTGGGGAATTGAAGAGGGGATACTTTTTTTTTCTTAAGTGAATTAGGGGGGATCCAATTTTACACCGTGGAGAATTTGGCTAGGAACGTGCCAGACCGGGGACACAGCGGCTCCGACCCACCGCCGCGAAGAAGAGGAAAAAAGAGGGAGCTCGACCAATCACAAGCGGCCAAACGGGCGGAAGTAAAGAGACGGACGGACTGCTCAGCCAATAGTAAAGCTGTCTTTGTAGGCAGATGTTTGGTGTTTACCAATGACAACAATAATAAAAATAGCCGAGAAAGTAGAGGTTGGTTGCACTGCAGGCTGACACGCAGATGGACGGAGAGATTTAAAAACCGGAGAGTAGATTAAAAAACGCGGATTTTAGATTATTAAAATCAACTTGGAGTCAAATTATCATCAAAAGGACTAAACATGATTCTTTTTTTTGACACTAAAACTGAAAGAAAAACTTGATCTCTGCTGAGCTATTTTTATTTTCACATTTATTTCTGCATTCAAACACAAAATAATATTGTAGTGAAGTTTGTTTCTTTTTAATTTGCTGTATGAAATTATTAAAGGCTCAGCGTGTAGATTTCACCACCAGGGGGCTCTCAATCAAAACAATAACAAAAGATGACATTGAGGCTGCCGGGGAATCATGGGAGTGATTCTCTCTGCATCCCCACGATGAAAACAAACTCTAAGTTGACCGTAGTCATGACGACCGGGTGAAACCGACCTGAGGAAGAGAATATGTTTACCGTCGAGCTAAAGTATCGGAGCATAATGTACATGACGTTTTTATCACAGCAGCACAAACAGCAACAGTACGCCAGCTTCCAGTAGCAGCTCACGCTTCCTTATGCAGCTGTCTTTGATGTAACACCCAGTGTTTCCACGGTAACGATAAACGTGTCGTGTCTGTCATGGCGGTTGCTACGATAAGGCAAGACAGGACCTGCTACAAGTATAAAATTACAGATTTCTCTGGCTTTGATAACTGTTGGAAATATTAGAGGTACTTAATATATAACATTGGTTTAGTCCGTTTGTAATTAATTTAGATATTTTAGTGTAAAATTCTAATACAATTCTATGTATTGTTTGTTTAATTTATTTTAAATCCCTTTTGTTTTTTTAAACATATATTTATGTATTTTATACAAACAGTATTAAAATAGTATTAAAGTTTTTTTCTGTGTAAAGTTTTTATATAAATGGATTTATTTGTTTTTATCCCTTTATTTTACGCCTAACTTTTACTTCATTGTCATACTTACTGAAATACATTTTTAAACATATAAATGAATTCTTTACATAAATATTTAAATAGTATAACAGTTTTTTGTTATATGACATTTTCCTGAAGCATGATGAGTGAGAATCCACTTCCGTGTTTTCTGTGCAGCTGATCAGTTTACGTTCTGTAGTAAAGCAGCCACCACGCTGTGTGTGTGTGTGTGTGTGTGTGTGTGTGTGTGTGTGTGTGTGTGTGTGCGCGCGTGCGCGCGCGTGTGTGAAACTATGGATACTAAAACACAGAGACACACCGTAATATACAGGCAAGTGAGCGCATGCGCAGTCAGTAACACCGCATCAATATTTAAAAATCATGTTAGGAGCGCCATGTCCCACGTGCTCCTCAAACAATGACGTCATCATATCTAGACGAGCGTTTAAAAAGCTGAATTGAAAGTTTTGATTTAAACTTTGTCTGCAAAATCTGCAAAAATACTCTAAACTTTAAGGTCCTTAACTTATTTTTTAATGATCACTTTTACCTTGAGTTTTATGTTTACAAAAAAAGTGTTCATACTGCACATAACATGTAGGCTACATTAATGTAAAATAATATGAATATTTCCTTTAAGTTAAGATTAAAAATCTAAATTATTACGATTAGCTTAAAGTTTCTGAATCCTCTGTTGCATTAATATTGGATTAAAGTGTTTGCTGGAAATGCTCGATGACCAGTGGCGATTCTAGAGTCTGTTGGGGCCCCGGGCAAAAAACCAATTGACGGGCTGTTAGGTGGGGTTTGTTTCTAATGTATAAATCTAATGAAGAAATCGTGAAGCAGACTGGAGATTATAACACCATTTAATCGGCCGAGGTCAGACAACTTCATCAAACAAGCACGCTTCCAAATCACTTGACTGACAAAGTGCTGACAAAGTAACAGTGTTCACAGTGCTGCTTATATTCTGTCAAAAAGGTGCAACCCACAAATTCCTTTCTATTTGGGTGCATCACCATAAAACAATAAAGATGACATGACACTGATTTGTATATGTATCATATGTATCAGATGTAGACTCTGTTGACTCTGTCTAGCAAACAGTTGCTGACAACATATAGTTGGCTCCTCTCCAAATATAGTTCTGTTACTACTTAGGTGCTTCGCTCATACAAGGTTACAGCTTCAGACACCTAAAGGTAGGAGTGTTAACAGGTGGTAGACAGACTTAAATAATACATTTCACAAAGTTACCAAGATGAATGAATTTCATGAAAATTCGTACTAACACGGGCCCTCAAACCATCATGATGCCCCAGTGGCCTTATACGTACTCGTCTTGTAGATGGATAATTCCTCTTCATTAACCTCTGTTGACTTTCAATTACAAACTTCAGTTTTTACAACATTAATGCATGCTGGACAATGAGTTTCAGATGGGGCCCCCTTAGGGGGATTTTCTACTGTCATTGCAAAATTTGCACATTTAGGGCCACTGCTGTGGTTTAAAGTTTGTCACCCAACATGGATCTTGTTTTGTTAATCAGGCCTCAGCCAATATCTTCACAATCCTACAGTAAGTGATGATGGAGTTTATACGTATGTATAGAGACACACACAGAGTTTGCAGAATAACAGCTCGTTTCAAACCTGTCTGCCGGGTGCTGAATTATAAAGCTGACGGTGATAATAATAACTTTATTAGCAGCTTTAAAAAGCAAAGCAAAGACAGCAACTCACAAGAACACAATAAACATCAGCATTCAGACCAAACAGAGAAGAGTCTACAGAAAAATAAACACATGTAAACAATAAGGAATAAGAAAGAAACAACAGGCCGTTAAAGACAAGACAGGTTGCTGCAGTGAATCATCAGTCCGGTGCTGCCCCCTGCTGGTGTAAAGTTTGTCATGCAGGATGTCAGATGCTTTCTCTCTGCTGTGTCAGCAGTAGTGTGCAGTAGTGTACAGGTGTTTACAGGTGAATGTTTTGCACATATTTGAATTCATCATAGAGAATCATTGATGCTGTGTTGTAGACGGACATCCTGTACCCTCAGCGAGCATCCCTTACTCCAGACCCAACACTGAGTCACTTGTCATTTGTGCCACTTATTGTCATAAACTATTTAAATATTGAACGGTTTGTTTTTTACATATGAGTTATAGGCGGTGGTGTAGTGCAGGGTATACGCAAGTATACGGAGTACACACTTAATTTCAGTCTCCACAGGGTATACCTTCTACATCCCCTCTAATTCACACTTTGATTGATTGACAATATTTAGTAGTCTAGTATAATGCCATTTTTTTCCCAGGATGGTGAAGCGATGACCCTCCCTACTCTGTCTCTAATTGGCATTTATTCACTGATTGAATATGAAGAGTAGTCTTACATGTTATTGTTTATAACAGAAGCCATTTACCATCTGCAGCCCCCCCCCCACTGAAAGCAGACTCGTGAAATTCTTCTTAGCACCTCATTGAGACGACACCCGTCCTGTGGAAGAGAAACTGTCGTGATTTAGATCAGTGGTTCTCAACTGGTCTAGCCTCAGGACCAACCACCAACTCATTCACGACAACTTGGGACCCGAATTTCAGATATTTTTCAACCAATCAGATTTCTTCTATGACTAAAATTGCACAGTTTGGACCTCAGACAGTACAACATGTGACAAAACAAAACAAAAGAAACATGCAGAAAAAGTGCTTCATAGACTTTTTAAAACATTATCATTTCCAGTCACACATTAGCGACCCATGAAACTGGCTCCGCGACCCACTTTTGGGTCCCAACCCACCAGTTTAGAAACAATAATTTAGATCCTTAAACAAGGATTTATTTCACAGGAAACACTAAATAACAGTCCTGCCATAGATGTGAATGTTGGTGGAAAAACATCCATGTCAGGTTTTACAGGCTTGATGCATGAGGCTGTGATCAAGCTGAGGATGTTGTACTTTATTATACCTGACGTTTCATAAAAGTGAACCAAATCCTTTAAGGTTGATGGAACATGTCTGTTTGGAGCGGTGAGAGCTGCTTCATGCTGCTCATCATGAACAACATGGACGGCTTACTGTAACAGCGACAGAAAGAAAATCATCATCTGTAATTTAATACTTCTAATTTTGTGTGACAACAGTTGAAACACAACACATAGTAGTAAAACAAGCTTCTCTGATCTCCTCCGGCTGGTCACTGCATAACTCAGGGGCCCGAAACAGAACGGGCTTGGTCCCCTTTAGTCTTCCGGACTAGTTAGTTATGACCTGCCGGAGGATCTCAGGTTACATGACGGGAGGTCAGCGATGTGATCTAAAGCTGACCCTCTCAAAGCTTGAAAAGTGATCACTAAAGTTTTTAATTCAATTCTAAAAATGGACGGGGAAGTGATTTTAAAACAGGTGTGATGATGGGTACTCTCTGAGGAGGAGTCGTGCACATTGTTAAAATTCCCAGCAGAATACTCAGCGGTAGAAAGGACCATGACACACACAGGAAAGCTTGGTATGGCTGACAAACCAATCGAAGCAGCAGTAGACCGGTAACTCCCGTGTTGTGCAAGTTAAAATGACTGTTTTTGTGAGTGGAGTCGGGTGTGTTTGAAGAGAGTGATGTAACAGCTGTCTGTCACTACAGGGATCCTTATGTGTAACGTTGTCAGACTCTTAGAATAACCTGAATCTAAACCTATCAGGGACAAAAACAACAATTTAAGAGCAGGCCTGCCCACAAAAATGTCTGGGCCCCTGAAAGGCCAAGTGAATGGGCCCTACACAGATGTCACTAAATAATATCATTACATGCATGTTGGATCAGTCACGTTGGTGCAAGCTAACATTTGCCTCCTCTGCCTACTCTGATCAGCTGTTGGAGTTTTCAGTAAAATGTTTGCTAACGAGTTACTTTTGGGGCCTTCT